GTGAATGTATATGGAGGGGTTGATGATGGTAATATGATAATTGGTGTTACCAAGGGTAGAAGTGAGTTGATTACCTTTGGTTGCATTGATGCGAAAGCACCTAAGGGAGCCACAAAGCGTATAGATACACAACAATTGGCAAGCAGCAGCTAGAATTAGAAAGAAATACAAGGATGCGGCCTTATGTTTGTCCATGAATTATTTAGATATTATTGATTACAAATGAATTATATAGATATAATTGACTTGAGCATAGTGTTCACATTTTTGAACAATCTTTCAATTCATGTGCGTAGTTTGATTACTTTAGAGAAAAAGCTCTTTTCATCAGTACGGCTTTTTATAAATAGAAATCATTGAGGCAGTAGTAGCAGTGATAGTTGTTGTTGGGGAGGCTAATTAACTTGGAAGATCATTGCTGTTTAGCTCAGTTATTGTTATCTGTTTCTTGAAATAAGCTCTTTTAACTGAAATCAGGCAGTTTATTCCAGCTGGTATTGAACACAAGGAATTAAGAGCACTCATTATTTGCAAAAGAAAACTTTAGAAAAACTTCAATTTTCGTGGGCAGCGTTATAAATTTGTTGTTTCTGTCGTAGTGATTAGTGCTAGTTCTATTTGTGTTTATGTCGCATGGCTCAGTACCAAATAAATCTAGAGTTTCAGCATGCTAACGAAGTAAAAGCTTGAATGACATTTTACGAAAGAAGTTCAATTTATAAAGATGACTAGCATCCATTATCCCCGCATGCTAGATTGCAAGTATATATTGCTTAACGAAAATTTAAGAATAAGGCTTTGTTCAAGAGACTCAAAATAAGTTGAGTTAAATCATCAAGAAGTCTTCTACTTCAAATTTAAACATTTTGATAATTCGTTACAAATGTATCGTTTTTCTATCTATCAACTTTTTTTTGACAGATGTCCCTTGTCTGAATTTGTAATTATTTACTTTTTTTAAAAGACTTTGTAATTAAAATTGAACAAAAGGTATTGAGTTTAGACTTGAATGAATGAGAAGACATAGTGTTGCATGGCCAAACAAATTAGGGTTAGTCTGTATAACACATGATTGACAGATAACCGTTTTTGCATTATCAAGTGTTATTTGTTTACTGTAGTGTTATACTGATCTGAACTTATGACAGAATTTCATGCTATCAGTCATCACCTCATTATTTGCTTTTATTTGCCGCTAAGAAAATTCTTCGCTTATTACCACTAAAGACATCCATCCCTTTTTTCAACTACCGTAATTCGAGTGCACTCAGACGAATGGCTCATTGAGCTTGTAGGTCCGCCCCTTGTTGATGCTTCCTTGTTTAAGGCATTTTGTATTGTTGGAATTTTGTTCTGAATTTTGTTTTTGAAATTGATTCAAGTAACTGTTTTCAAAAAAGTAAAAAGTAGAGATTGAGTAATTTGGTGATTATTTTTTCTGCGGCCAAAAAATGGTAATACATGTACACATCACGACATTTGAATTACTAATCGTAATTTATCATCTTAGTGATGAGTTTCTAAAATCAAGAACTTCAAAAACATTTACATCTTCGGTAGAATTATGGTAGAAAGAAAGAGTAGAATTATACTTTGTAATAAAGTAAAATAAATGTCTTACAAGAGTATTACTCTGTTCATTGTTTTGTTTTACTACTGTTTCTCTTATTCTTGTTTTGCAGATTTTACTTTATTGTGATAATTTGCACGGACGATGGCATTTTCACGAGATAAGGGCGATTTTCTTACGTCGGTATTTGCTAAGAAATACAGCACTGGAATTATTTCTTTCATCAAGAAGTGAGTTGATAAATTTTGTTTCAGAAACATATTCTTTTATTATGAGGTATTTTGCAAAATAAAAATGCTAGAAAATTTTTTCAATGATCATTCTATTTAGCGGCTGTAATGTTTGCATTTGCGGACGAAAATACAGTGCGAAAAGTAGTAGATTTCTTACCTCGAGTTGGTGTAGGCGTGAAATATGGTTTACCTCAAAATCGCAAAACAAGTCTTATGACCCCACGACAACTTTTCAAGCATTCCGATATGCCGCAAAAATGGCAACGACGTGAAATTTCAAATTTTGATTATTTGATGTTTCTAAACACTGTAGCTGGTCGTACATATAATGATTTCAACCAGTACCCAATATTCCCATGGGTTCTGGCTAATTACTCGTCGTCAACGTTAGATCTTAATGTTGCGTCAAATTTTCGTGATCTCTCGAAGGTATTTACATTTCTTCTGAATGATGGCATGTTAGTGTTGTTTGAATGTATAATGTGAGAGAAAGGTTATTGCACTAAAAAGCTGTTATAATTCGATGAAATTTTCAAATAATGTCTGATTGGATAAATCTTTTGGTTGAGAGCAAGTTCTAAGTAAAGAAAAAGTACGAAAATGTAAGCGTAATAATGCCTATTAACTGGTTGTTTCACGCTTTGGTGATATATATCGGTTGTAGAGATAAATGGAAAGAAAGTTCTTCGGAGCTGGTATATATTAAAATTATTAGTTGCGTGACTTATGATTGATATGTGTTATATTTGGTAGCAGATTCTAACTCTTTTGAGTCTGTTTTATGCACTCATCGTTATTGAAGTTCTCAAAGCAGCAGCAGCTGTACTTAACTTCTGACTATTCATTTTTTAATGTATTTTTTTCTGGCGCTTGCTTGTTTATTTAACAAGTTAAGGTTATTTTTCAGCCCATAGGGGCACTGAGTGAGAGTCGTCGGAAGTTCTTCCAGAATCGTTACAGTTCATGGGAACATGAGACCGTACCTCCATTTCATTATGGCACACATTATTCTACTCAAGCTTTCACTCTCAATTGGTTATTCAGACTTGTATGGCTTTCACTTTAATAACTTTCTTATTCATAGTGAAAAGATTGATTCATATCTTCCTTGACTTGTTCTTCATTGAGAAAATTAAGCAGTAAGCTGAAAGAGCTTTGCCAATGCCTTTTGCTTCATAGTTGTTTGCTGAATTTCTGGAATCTAATTCTTTACTTACTTTTCAGTAAAATTCTTGTGCTTCACTTACTGATGAGTTATTTTTGAAATTACTGCTTCAGGAACCATTTACGACAATATTTCTGCATATGCAAAGTGGTAAATTTGATCATTCTAATCGCCTATTTCACAGTATAGCCGAAGCCTGGGAAAGTTGTCAGCGCGATTCACATGATGTTAAAGTATTTTTCTCAATTTTTTCTATCAGTTTCTTATTTAGCTGTCATGTTTAATTCCAGTAGGGTTTGTGAGCTGCTAACCGGAATGTATTTTGGTATATATAAGAGATTGACGATAAATATTGTTCGCATTATTTAGTCATTTCTTAATGAAAACAAAAGCATGAAGCTGTTTAAACTAACACTGTATAATTGCTTATAGTGTGGACAACTAAGATGCTACTTTAAGTTAATTGAAAGTGCTGTTGAAAGTCGTGAAAGTAATTATAGGAACTAATACCAGAGTTGTTTTATTTGCCGGAAATGTTGTTGAATACAAACGGGTATGACCTGGGAACACGTGATGATGGCCTTTCCGTTAATGATGTTATTTTGCCGCCATGGGCGGAAAGTGCCGAACATTTCATAATGTTGCATCGGCAAGCTCTTGAGTCAGATCTTGTTTCTTGCCAACTAAACCAATGGATTGACCTTATTTTTGGCTACAAACAAAAAGGACCTGAAGCTGTAAGTGTACCTTGATAGTGGAAAACAGAATTTGGCCGGAACTGGTAGAGTTAAGTTAGAGATGCAGTTTTTATGATGGATATTGCTTAGAACCAGAAAGAGTAGGAAATTTCTGCTGTTTGTGAGTTAATTTGTAATAAAAATTTCGTTAAATCTGTTAGAAGTAGTTTGCAATTTTAATATATAATGTGTGTTGTAATATTGTAGAAGAACTCATTTGTCAAACGTACTTATAGGTTCGCGCTACCAATGTATTTTATTATCTTACTTATGAAGGAGCGTTGGACTTGAAGTCGATTGAGAATGCAGCGATGCGTGAAGGACTCGAACAGCAGATAATATCTTTTGGACAAACGCCTGCTCAGTTGATGACTGAACCTCATCCACCTCGTCATTCTATCATGACCATCGTATATTTTTTTCCGCTGATTTATAGCAGAAAATTGATATTTTAATGTTGGCATGTTGTTAACATTAACAATGCTATTTTCTTGCAGAGTCCTACAGTATTCCAGCCATGTAACGATGATCTATGCATGTTGATGAAATTCATATCAAATAGCTCTGTAGTTCATATTAGTGCAAATACATTCTCCCAGTTACAGCATCCTACTGTTATTTCTATCACTAATAATTTAATTTTCGCACTGAATCGCTGGAACACTAATTATGCGGGTAATTTCAAATCATCATGCACTGAAAGAGAATTAGAATTACTGCGTAAAAATTTACTAAAGAAAAATTTTTATTCCGATTCAAAGTCAAAGATCACTGTTCCTAGTTTTCATCCAAGGAAAGTGAAATTTTTTTCTCAGTAAATTCCTTTGAAACTTAATTACAAATCAATAAGCACTCTTTTGAAGGTTCATCCGCTTCATCTATCGCACACACTTCTGGAAACCAAAATAGCTCCGATTTAGCGGGAAATTCAGTTGTCAATCTTCCTCTTACAGTGGATCCACTTCTAGCTGCAGGTTTATATATATGTAAATAAAAATATGTGTATATAACTATATAAATTGATTATATAAGAAAGAAAATGTGTGGGGTTTGTCTTTTTTTCGCTTTATTGATTCTGGCACTGGGTCGTATTCTGGCAATCTGGCTGTACTTGTCCCGCGCTCAGATTCTTTGTGCTGATCCTTTTCGCTTCATTCTCGTGAAATTTAAAACGGTTATCGAAGAAGATGCTTTTGAGCGTCTTTTTGAGAACTGTGAATTGAAATTTGTATAAAATATACATATAATCTGTCACACTTGAAAGCTTCTTGTACAGTTCGGCTTTTGCTGCCTTCTGGTTCATTCTTGATCACATGAGCCATTTTAGATGGTAGCAGTTTTTTGTGATAAAAAATAAAAGTATCACTTTATTAAAGGTAATCCATCACAACCGTTACCTCGTCGGCATTTGGGTGAATCTTTTGACCAGCGCCTTAAAATTCGATGGAACAATTTTGTTACTACTATAGAAAGTCGATCAATCATTGCATGTGGTTATCCGGATTATAGTTTTCGTGTCATCGATACAGATACTGGTATATGATGCAATTGAAGTTTTGCTTGAAGTCTTTAGATGCCTCATAAGGTTAATTAAAATCACTGTTTCTGTCACATTTAGCATGTTTGATTTAGCTAGAGTACGGCAAGTCATTTATGGGCACGGAGATGTAGTTACTTGTCTTGCGCGTTCAGAATCGAATCTGTTTGCTGATTGTTACATTGCTTCGGGTAGCCTAGATTGCACGGTAGTGCTATGGCACTGGAATGCACAGTTACAGTCTATTGCTGGCGAATACAACGTTGCAGGTATGCAACAAAAATATTCGGATAGAGATAACGTTGTTTCTAGTTTTTCTAAAAGAATTTAATAAAAACTACGTGATTTGCTTTTAGGAGATTCATAGCCTATATCAAAAACATCGTAAGAGTTTTTTTTATTATTACTAATAAAAATATGTTATTAGAAAATAACTGATAACAGTAATTTCTTAGCCTTTTTTCACTATTTTCTCACTTGAAACACAGTTATTGATGTAGCCTTATTCAGGTGAGGTAGCAGCACCTCGTGCCATATTAACAGGGCATGATACTCTCATCACTATGATTTGTGTATCAGCTGAACACGGCATTGTCATTTCTGCATCTAAAGGTGCGTTTCCCATATTAAATTGGATACTAAATAAATTAAAGTTAGTAGTGGGGCTGCACAATGAATAGTAAAGTGAGTTATGAGAAAAATACTTACATATTTATAGACGGGACTGTTTTGATTCATACTGCAATGGGAGATTTACTGAGACGGCTGGAGTGTGAGAATCAACAAAAATTATTAGAGAAAGAAGTAAATTTGCTGTTGATGTCTCGAGAGTGTATACTGCTAGTATTGTATGGTCGTGACTGTTTGACTACGTTTACAACGAGTGGTCGACAGCTTAATTGTTTAAGGTATTACTATCATATTTTTTAATGCAGAGAATAATTTCTTAATAATATAAGTTGACTAATTTCATTTCGTAAGAAGTAAGTAGCTGGGTTTTAAAAGTTGCATCAACTTGTGTGTATATCACCATGTAATTCGAATATAATGATTCAACTATATGTCGAAGCATAAGTCGATTTATAAGCTGACGTATAAAGAGTTATTCCTCATCTCAGAATCATAATTCATGAAAAGAGTAATAATGAATTTTGACATGAGTAGTGCAGAATTTGGTAGTATCTTGGTCGTGCAAACAGCAATCAGCAGTATACTTGCAGACTCCCAGAAAATGTTTTGTGTGGAACATTGTCTTTTGATGGTGAATATGTTGTGTTAGGTACGAAAAATGGTCGTGTTGCAGTATTAAAATTATTCCCTACACAGCTACTATATACCTTTCAGGTAATTATTTATCTATAAATTATTAAAAGAAATACTTTATCTATGCTTTGTTTCGCTGAAGACACTTCATTACTTTGTTGTTAGGATTTCATCTATTAATTTCAGCAGACAGACAGTGCAGTACGTAGTATCGCGTTATCTTCAAATCAGCGTTTTGTATTGGCAGGACTTGATTCTGGCGCTATCGTTGTTTTCAATATTGATTTTAACCGATGGCATTCGGAATACTGTAATCGTTATGCTATCCGATGATTGAAAAGCTGAAGAATATTTGGTTTCATTCAAGCTGGCTTCTTAAGCCTTATGCCACTTTGGCCTTACATGCTGCCATGTTAATTATGTTGGTGCTCCCCCACTAGCATTTCTTCTCTTGGTCAGTCATCTTACTATAATCTGCTTGAGAGCGATGAACAAATTCATACTTTGTCCAAAGTTTTATTCAAGTCAGATATCGTGATATGTTGTCAAGTTATGGTTTATTTTTCGTCTTTTGCAATCTTGTCTATATTTATAACTATATAAGGGTACGAAATGAAACGTGAGGCGAGAATCATGTTGTTCATAAGCGTATGTAATTTGTCAGTAACAGTGACATTTTCCTGCTACTTTCTTCTTTTATTCCTCATTAAAGTTATATAGAAGTTAGGCTTTCAATTCAAATAGGATGCTTTTCTTGTCTCTGATTTAATATTGTTTGAACATGAAATTTAATAGGTATAAGGACTTGATGATAAATTATAGTTATTGTAATTTTGTTCAAATTGTGTGGTTGTCTATATTCATGTATTTTTCAAAGATACTTAATATTTCGCTCACCGCTGTGACCAATTAAATGTAATTTGAATAAAATATTACTAGTCACTATATATTAAAAATGATTATCTCGAACTTGATTCACAACTTGAAAGCAATTATCAGAAAGTAAGCATTTCATCGTAATGGTCGATGTATAGCTATTATAATTTCGTCTTAAAATCAGTGATACATAATGCACAGTTTTTCATATCGATGAAAAGATTTTTTACTCTGAAGTATATCATAGAGAATACCACTGCTGACCTTTATTGATTGCATCTGTAACTTTGATTGGAAAGTTTGATTCCTTGAGCTACAGCTTTTGATACTGTCTAAGGGGTATTTGCAGTAAGACAAATCACATTGTGAAGTGATTTGACCTTGTTTAGAAGAAGACTGCTTTTTGAAAAATAAGAGAAACTATGCATAGTTAGCGATGAGAATTATCAGAAAGTAAGCATTTCCACAAATCTTGATAAACAATCGAAATTTGTAGCGAAAAAACAAGCGTAATTAAGCACTTCCATAGTAACTGGCTACGAATGAAAAGGAAAAGAAAGTACAGGTAATCAGGCACATTTCCACAACAAATAATTCAGTTTCTAATAATACATAAAATTAGCTGAGAAAACACATACTAAATTTCTTCATTGATTCCAAGACTGAATATATCCTAGATCGTAACTAATAAGGATATTAGAGAGCCCTTTTTCAGAAAAAGAGGAATGCTCAGGAAGACATGCCTGACACACTTCCTCAGCCTGCACTAGTGCATTTACTGCCTTTTTGGTTGAAAAAATGGGTGTGACAAGATCGCGATCTGGAAATGACTAATATCATTTCTTGACTACACATGTTACTCGATGGAAGAATCACGTAAATCCTGAGGTAATGAGTGAAAAAAAGACTCAAATGAACCCTCATAAATTTGCGAAACACGATACTCGTACTTAAGAATAAAAGCGAATCAATGCGAAGCAGTTTTCCGCTCAAATTTATTGCCTGCAGCAAAATCTCAGCTTTTCAATTTTTTACGAAAATTAGGGATCTCACCCTAAGACACGTGTGTGAAAGACTATTAACTTACAGCCTGGCAAAATTTCGCAATACCTATGAACATGGCAGCGCGAAATAACAACGCAATCATGACAGAACACAATGACCATCGGGAAACTCTACTGTTCAAAATTCTTACTTTTTTGCTCATTTCTCATATAGACTTGTCTAAATTAAGCAAGTTTGAAAATCGGCATATCTGCAACAGTCACCTGCCCAAAATCGAAAAAAAGCATATCATGACTTAAAGACTTGATATCGTCCCCCAAACTCGCTACATCTACCATGCTGTC